GTCTTGGTTACTTCGATAGCTTCAACAACCTGGATAGCACTTTGTCTTAAAGATGGGGTCTTGGTTACTTTGATTGCCTCAACAACCTGGATAGCACTTTGTCTCGATGAAGGCGTCTTGCTCGGTTCAATGGCTTGGATAACTTCTGGTGTTGCCATGCTACGACGTGATTGTACAGGTTGACGCAGAGACGGTGTCTTAGATGCTTGAACGGGTTTTGTTTGAACTGACAGCTGAGAGTCCTTGGATCGCAACGAGGGAGTACATGCTTGTTGTACTGGACTAAACAGCAGATCAAGGCCAAAGCTTTGTTCAGTTTCCACCGCTGATCTTAATGATGGTGTTTTGTTAGGTTCAATGGCTTCTATCATTTTCGGAGTGGCAACGCTCTTTCTACTTGCACTACGTATGCTTGCAGCTTGACGCAGCGAAGGGGTCTTGGAGGCTTGGGCAGGTACTACTTGAACAGACATTTGATCGTCTTTGCGTCGAAGAGATGGGGTAACGCTTTGAAAAGCAGGACTGGACATTAGTGCCAAACTGAATGAATCATTAGAGGGTGTACCGAACAGGTCCTGAAGTCCTTCGAGATGACCAGATGAAGATCTCCTGGTCTTATCACCATGAAGAGTCTTAGCAATCGCGTCTAACCAGTTGCCAGATTTCTTTCTGATGCTCTTAATCTTCTTAACAGCTTCCTCAGGGGTGGCAAACATATCCTGCAACCCTTCAAGGTTTTCTTCAACCATTTCTCGTTCCTCTTTATTGTTTAGAGATTTCGCGATGGTGTCCAGCCAGTTTCCAGATTTCCTGGAGTTTCTTGTGACAGGGGTAGCTACCACCTCGGGTACTTCTTCTACGGGGTCTGCCTCTTTGACTACAGGAGTCAACACTTTAGGTTTTTTAGGAGTCTCTTTGTCTACAAAAATAAATACATGATTTTACTCTTGTGTCTATTGTTATTATTATCTTATAACGGTATAACGACTTACTGATAAATGGGGCTAAATGTAATTTAGGCAAAGTTAAAACCACAACTAAGCCTGCCAGCCTAAGCACCGTTGGCCAGCAGACCATCCACGCTACGCATGCGCCCTCGCTCCGGGTGGCGTGTTCACTAGCTGGCTGGTAGCTCGTATGCCATCTTTGCACGCTTGGCACCATATTGATGAGTTTTAATGCTCTTTTCTGAGCCAATTATTTATGATAAACGTGTAGTCAAACATAAGTGGGTTGTTTACAGGGAAAGGGTAACTCCTTTTTTTAACCAAAACCTTCCCATACGCCTAAAAAGCAGATGTTCAAACAAAACCCTTACATTTTGGCGCCTGACTTTAAGCAGTATACACCTATTTCGAAAATTGTTGTTGCCTCAAGTAACAAACCAAGGCTCCAGAGAACGTCGGTACTTTTAATTATAATTGATTTATTCATGGTTCATACAAGTGGCTATAGTTCTACACTAATTACAGCTAAAAGTACTTGCGTTCTCTGCGATCTTGGCTTGTTGCTTGAGGCTTTTGGTGTGACAACGATTTCTGAAATAGGTGTTTATGCACTGTATAGAGTGGTCTGACCACAGGGGGCAGGGAGGGGGGGCACTTATCTTCCACTGGCACAGCTCAAGCATTGCAGAGTGTGGTATCTGACAGGCTCAAGCTTACTTATATTATGTAAAGTGGTAAATAATATAAAAATGAAAGATAAGTGCCCCTCCCCAGGTGGTCTGGCCATTAATATGAGAATTGGATGCACAAGCTTGATTCAATTACATGAATCACAATACTCAGGGTTACAGAGAGGATTTCTTGCTCTTGCTCTCACTTCTTTGTCATAGCTTTTTCATGATAGCAAAACCTACAACTATGAAGCACTGGAGCAAGATAGCCTCTGTGGAACCCAGAGTAGGATCATCATAACCAAAGCAATTCAACAACTAGAAACAAAGTTTACCTTTGGTTTGTTCTTTAGCAGGAGTTTTCTGTTTACTAGCAACCTACAAAAGCAAGAAGTATAGAATAAATATAAAGAAAACAACAATTAATAAACCTTATAATGATATAATATTAAACATAGCCATGGAAATAAGTGAACAAGTACGAAAATCCATTGCAAAAATCATTTGTTGAACACTGACATTAGTAAAAGGTAATTAGAAAAGGAAAAATATGCACAATATTTAGTCAAACTTTTGGTGGGAAGTCACCCCTTGCCATGACCCTGGCTTTATTTTCTAAACTTTAGATGTGCCTTATGACAAACTTTGATAAACATCTGATTTAAAAAAAAAAACTGATGCCAAAAAACTTAGACATTTAAAAAGTTGTGAAGGTCACAAAAAACATAGAAAGAGCTGTAATAGTAAATAGTAATAGTGTTGCAAGACAAAGGTAAGCAAAACTCACCCTTGTTGCCTGTCCTGGAGTTGCAGTTGGTCCAAACTTAGTGCCAGGTACAAGTTTCTTGGACAGCCTCCTCACTGCTATCTTCTTTGGTCTTTTAAGTATTTCTGCATATGTTGGCTTTCTTGCAGGCTGTTCAGCTATGTCCCCTAGTTTAGTTGACTTCCTTCTCACAGCTCTCAGTGATCGCCTCTTCTGAATCTCATGCCTTAAAGGAGTAGCAAGTCTTTTCTTGGTCTGACGGAGTTTGAAGCCAGCTTCTATATCTCTTCTCAGGGGAGTCTTTAGAGCTTTCTTGATAGTTGTTTCTGATTCCTTTGGTGTTTTCTTCAGTTTCTTTGCAGGATTCTCTTCATCCGATGAACTTGATTTCCTTCTCTTAGTTGAGTTCAGCTTTGGTTTTGCCTCAATTTCCTTCCTCATAGGAGTGGCCATTTTTTTGATACGAGTCTTGAGAGTAACTCCTTCCTCAATCTCTTTTCTCATTGGTGTCCCCATCTTCTTCCTTGTCTCTCTAAGAACTTTACCTCCTTCAATTTCATTCCTCATTGGTGTCTCCATCTTCTTCCTTGTCTCTCTAAGAACTTTACCTCCTTCGATTTCTTTCCTCATTGGTGTGGCCATTTTCTTCTTTGTCTGTCTGAGTGATACTCCTTGTTTAATCTCCTCTTTGAGTGGAGTTGGCAATGTCTTCTTATTTGACTTTAACTTGATTCCCATCTGTATTTCTTCCTTCAGTGGTGTCGGCATTCTCTTCATTGTCTTCTTGAGTGTTTTTCCCTTCTTAATCTCCTCTCTCAAAGGCGTCGCCATCTTCTTCTTGGTTTCTTTTAGTTTCTTGCCTTTAATGATGTCAATCTGCAAGTCATATGCCATGATCTTTTTAGTGGCTTGTAGTTTCTTTCCTTGTTTGATATCTTCTTGTAGGTCTTTATCCATCAATTTTTTAGTCTGCCGTAGCTTGGGTTTGCTTTGTATCTCTTGTCTCACAGGAGTTGCTAGCTTCTTTTTGGTTTCTCTTAGGGATGGTTTAGCAAGGATTTCTTTCCTCAAAGGTGTGGCCAGCTTCTTCTTGGTCTGCCTAAGACTTGGCTTCGACTGTATCTCCTTGCGAAGTGGTGTGGCTAGCTTCTTCTTTGTAGCTTTGAGTTCAACACCTTTTATGATTTCTTTTYGCAGGGGTGTAGCCAGTTTCTTTTTTGTAGCCTTAAGCTCAATGCCAGCTTGGATTCCCTTCCTAACAGGGGTGGCCAACTTCTTTTTGGTCTCCTTGAGTGTTGGCTTAGAGTGAATTTCCTTCCTCAAAGGTGTTGCGATCTTTTTCTTGGTCTTCTTCAACTCAATCCCATTTTCAATTGCTTTTCGTATGGGAGTTGCAAGCTTTTTTTTCTTGTTCTCAAAAGGTTCTTTCTCTGCATTGGCCACAGGTATAGGCTCTTCACAAGATGTCACAGTTTTGCTTAGTCTTCTACTCGATCGTCTTGGTGTTTCAATGGGAGCAGGTTTTGGGCTTTCCACTATTGGCATTTGTACATCAGGAGTCTTGACTGCTTCTACTATCTCTTCTGAATCATTTTCTTTCATCTCTTGTACAGCAACTGCTTCTTCTTCAGTCTTCTTCGGTGGCTCATCATCAAGACAACTTGTTGACTCATCAGTTTCACTTGCTTTTTCTTCTGGTTCTTGCTCCTCGAAGATTGCTGCCGCTTTAGGTGAGGCTGCTACAGAACGTCTCTTCTTCTTCTCACTCAAGATTGGTTTAGCTTCCGAGAGCGATCTTCTTGGTGCTGCGCCACGTCTCACTGGGGTAGCAGGGGGAAGCTCTTTGTCAAATTGCTCAGGACTTAAAAATGGGCCAAAAGAGACTCTCTTGGATTTCTTTGCACTGGATAAACTGCTTCCAGTAGATTTTCTTTTTCCAGATGGAGTAGCACAAGCTTCCATGTCAGTGTTTTCATACACTTTAGCAAGAGGTGACTTGGATGGCATTGGAGAGGCAAGACTTTCATCAACTTCTTTTAAAGGTACAGAATATCTTCGAAGAAGATGGATGTTTTCCTTGAGGGTTTCAGCAACTGGAGGCGTGCGAGGGCTTCCTCTTGGAGTTATGGACAAGGACTCTTGTTTTGCTTTAAGGGGAGTTCCTTTACTGGAACGACGTTTTTCCTAAAAATATACAGTAGTTTCATATCTTAATGACGTATTGGTATTAGATTAAGCTTAATTAATTTATTCTAAAAGTAACAATCCAAAAACCATCTCTATGATTATTTCCTTACATTTGTTTATATTTATGGATTTATTATTATTATTTTTGGTTTTAGGTATCATGCCTTATTCAAGGTTCATGCCGAGGTAACCACTTAAAATTCAAGGACTATTCAAGGAGTATACAAGGACCCAAAAATGAATATTTAAGGAGTATGTTCAGCTAACTATGCCAAGGTTTTACACGGTGGTTGCACATGGCCGACTTTCAGATTTTCCGATCTTTCTGACTAGATCTATTTCAGAACCATGCAAGTAATGATCAAAGCAAAAATTCAAGGAGTTTCACTAAAATCATAAAATTCAAGAGCTTTCAAGTGCCCTTGAAAACGTGAATTATATCCAAGGAGTTTTCAAGGAGTTTAAGGAATAATACGAACCCTGCTTATTTAAAGGCTCAACATTACTGATCAAAATACTGGCACGGCAAAGTTTTGAACAAATTCCTATTGCAGCCAAATATTGCCTGATGACCAGGGCCTTAGAATGTTTTGAAGTAGGTGGTAATAAGTCTGAAGTAGCTGACTGCGATATTATATGAGGAAGTGAAGGTATTTTATGGAAAAGAAAAAGTAGCCAGCAGTTTTAACTTTGAAGCAATTGCCAGAGCTCTGCCAACCACYGGCTTATTTTGAAAGCCCTGACGACTGAATGTTATTTTTATATATGTGTACAGTCAAAAGGACCAACTTGAGTGCCAATTTTGGTCTGACATTCTCCATCCAATGGCCATTATTTTTAGCTTTGTTCTGCAGTTTAATTAGACATACACACTAGCTGAAGCAATGTGGATTCATGATCACAGCACCAAGAGTCACATAATAAGGCCGTAATATTGAAGGTAATATTCAATAAAGATACATTAAGTATATTAGCTACAAACCTTTGGTGACTTCTTGGGTGTTAATTTCTTGGGAGTTGGGAACTCAAATCTGAATGATCTGTCACTTATCGTAAACACATCCAAATGAGAGATCTCTATGGAGTCAGGAATCTTAGCACCATTAAGTAAAGTGTCTGCACATTTGCTTAGATTGGTTAACCAAACCTAGAGAGAGAAGGAAGTAGCATTAAATTACTAGTTAAGAAAACAAAGCTTAATTACTCTGATAAAGGAATAATGGCAGTCCAAAACGTTAGTAAATTGTAACTTCTATATATATATATTCATTTACTTTTAAAGGGTTTTTCTCCAATGATGTACATAGTGTTTTTACTTTAGAACTAGTAGCACAGCCTGTAATTTAATACATATTTTCCTCTACGGCCCACTTAGTCAATAAGTACATAATATCAGCAGCTGAATAATCTAATATTATCTTACAGGCTGTGCTACTAGTTCTAAAGTAAAATCACTATGTACATCATTGGAGAAAAACCCTTTAAAAGTAAATGAATATATATATATAGAAGTTACAATTTAAAAGAATTGTGGATTTCACTAAAAGATGCTTACAACTTTTTAATTTACTATGAATACTAATATAGTATAGCTCATGGTGATGTAGAATAGAAGCAAAACACACCTTGAAGTACAAGATACTATTAAGATAGGTAATACATCATTTTAAAGTATCAAAATTACTTATAATATGAATAAGAATATTAAAATATCTTGTGTGATTTTACACAKTTCTTTTAATCTGATTGTGCTACAGAAAATCTTTACTTTATATACACGTTTAAGACGCTGATTTGAAGACAATTTCTTGCCCAGAGTCTCACTATAATATTCAAAAATTACCATTAAGCTTTCTGTTAACAGGGTTTTAACACTTTTTAGAGATCTTATTAGGTACCTTTTTGTCTGAATCAACAGTTATTCTTGCGTGTTCCTTCGATACGTTTGGTAACTGAATTCGTATGTCACATTCGTTATTTCTGAAAAATAAACAAGAAAAACGCGAACAAGACGTTAGTATTTCTCAAGAAAACTTCAGAATAAGATCAAATTAAGAGTAATTGAGGCAAGAAGGAGTAATCGGGGGAAAAAAATTGTGGAAAAATGAGACAAAAATCAGTTTCTTACCTTCCAAATAAACACTCTTTTGAGCGAAGTGGAAAATGAGCTCCGTCTGAACCATTCCGCTTGATTACGATTATTCTACCTAAAAGTGCACTCATGACGACGGACTTCACACCTCAGGTGATTAAATTTTAGATTCCGATGTAATATTTAGGGTTGAAAATTTAAAAATAAAAGCGCGCAAAATACTTGCTGCTGGTGTAGTGCATTCGGCGCGYGTTTTAACGTATTTCAAACTAACGAACCTTTTCTGTTTCGAATAATAGCGCCCTGACATCTGATTGGTCAACTAATGGCACGTGTTACAAAATATGCATATATAATTAGATCAACAGCCTTCCTCGTTCAAAATAAAACACAGGAAGACCATTTAATATAAAAAATTTTTAGACGATTTTCCCCTTTGAATTTTTCCTTTTTCTTTTTTCAACTTAAATTTTTGGTTAAACATTTATATATATATATGCATATATACATACATACATATATATATATACATACATACATACATATATATATATATATATATATACACACGATTGCAGAAACGTTGTAGTATACATTTATACATTTATCTAATTAGATGCATAATACAAAATAACCATTTTCAACGCTTAAAACCAACTGATTTATAATCTGTACGATCAAACAGACAAGAAAAATATATTTTGACAGTCATTGAATGAAACAAACAATAAATAAAGCGATTTTTCTGTTTTGCATATCATTAAATATACTGAATAAATTAGATATTTGTATTAATGTATACTACAACGTTTCTGCAATCGAGTGTATATATATATGTGTATATATATATATATTTGGGTGATTCTCTAGATGGGGGTTGCCATGGTGGGGTTTGGGGATTGGGGTGTAGGTAGTTTAGTGACATAGCCATGCACAATGTTACTGATAACTGAATTAACTAAAAAACAAATGCCATTTGCAATATAATAGTGTGAATGCAGATTTTTATTTTTTTCACTTATATGCAAAACAAGAAATGACACAATTCCCTTTAAATCAAAGTATAAAAAAAGGGAAAAAATACTAAAGAAATAATTGCATGCTTTACATAATAACTAATAACAATAATAATTAAATATTTATAGAGCGCTCATAGCAAGAGTTCTGAGCACTAATTACAAGAACTATATTAAAAGTATAATTTGAATATAATATCTTGAAAATCTTTCAGTTGCCATAAAAAAGGGGAATTACAAATTTTGAACCCACAAGTGTTAAATTTATTTTGCCCATTTGGTTAATTTTATTTTACTTCGCTATAGTTTCTTTAACTCTCAAAAGCTAGGACTTCCACTCTAACACAATCAAAATCTTTTCCACTTGCAAGAGGATGATTTCTAAATGTCTTGCTTGATCCACTGTGGCCATGACTTAGTTCAGCATCAAGCCATATTGCATTGTCCCCCCTGAAAAAGATTATGAAATGAACAAGATAATTTGGGATAAGAGGGTATGTCTAAAGATTAAATGCTTAATTTTTTCTATACTCATGACTTCACCTTTAGCAGGTTCAAAATCTTCTGTACATTAGGTAAAGTTCCTTTTTATCCCTTTTTCTCCCACCATATTTTTAAAACTCATTTGCTTCATCCCAACCCATTTACCTCTCAATCATACACCATACCCCCCAAAGATCTATGTGATACTGGTCCTCAAAAATGGTCTTTAGGCTGGTATAGTAGCATCAATCACCCAGCTGTAAGAACTATCTAAGCTAAACCAACTTTATGACTGGGAGATTAACACAGCCTTGTGAATAATTCCTATTCTATTTTCTTGAATGAAAAGAAACTAAGTACTATTTTGTCTTACCCTCCACCTATCATAAGACAATTGTTGTCTCCAGCCATAAAATATTCATTGATGTTTTCTCCATCTTCCTCAAGGCCATTCCAGCAATACTTGATAGGTGTTGGGTAGAGACTGAAAACAAACATTTCACCTGTACCAAAATATGTTAGACTTTTGGGAGCCTCATTTCTTTCACTCCAAGATGTGCTGCAGTAGGCTCCAAAAATCTAGAGAGAAATATTTTAAATATTTTTTTCTAATTACTATAGATAGGAGTATAAATATATGTTTAACAGAAAGTCAGTGGAAATTCATCTGACATAATCAGAAAATCCTGGGGGAGGGGAGGGTGAGTTAGAAGACTATAAAAAATCTTGCGGGGAGGAGGTAGGATTATATGCTTATGCCATATAAAAACTGCATGAGATTGTGCAAATCCTGGGGGATGCTTCATACAAGGGTTAGCAAGGGGGGGACTATAAGTCACCCCCTTCTCCTTTGCACAAATAAATAAAAAGTGTTTAGAGCCCTCATACGATATATACGAGTCGGAGGAAAATATCAGCATCTTCAACCCAAAAGAATTAAAGAATATTAAGTAAATAATCAAGCAAAATGAAAAATGAAATGACAAAAGGAAGAATTCTTTTTTGAAAGAAAAAAACAATTATCATGGCACTCACTTCACCCTTGCTTGTCTTGATCAACATGATTGTTTCAGTTTCATTCTCACACTTGTTGTACAGAGTCCGAATACTATTATTATAGAAAAAATATCATCAAAATCAAACAAGTATGTGAAATATGGCAGCTGTTCAATCAGATATCCAAGTGTGCAAGAGCACTGTTAGAAGTCAAAATGTTTTTGAAAACCTGATATTATTGATACTATATATTATTAATAAAAGGATTAACAACCTTTTCCTGTTCAACCTCTTTGCTAATAACATTGAACTTTTACAGTAGAGGGGCAGTTCTTGAGGGACTTGTGTCCCTACTGATCATTGAAGTATTTCAAAAGTAATAATACCATGTAAGAAATCTGAAGTAGAATGATACTCACCTACAGCCATCAGTTTGGGTTGAAAATAAGCAGAATGGATGTCGAATCTGGATTTTTTCAGGTAACCAGGATGCAAGCTTTTCCCACTGGAGAAATAAATAAATGACGACAATAGTAAAAAGAATGGACGAAGGGATGGACGGATGGATAAAAGAAAAAGTAGAACACAAAGAAATTAATGATAAATCAAGAATAAAGACCTGAGTGGCTGAAAGCATATCAGAGCCTTGGATGCTGTATAGGGTGGTTATTTTAACTGGTGCTGTATCAAAAGGGACCTCTAATTTCCCATCATCCAACAGCTGTAAATTCTTGTTTTTCAACTTTGTCAATTTTTTCTTTGCTAAGCCACGAATCTTGAAGGCTGCCTATAAACAAGACATAAAATAATAATATACATAAGTATGAATTTTTTGATTATGGCACCCTGAAACAAACTATGCCATGATCTAAGTCAGGTCACAGCTAATTCAAAGATGTGCATGGAATTAGAATTTAATTAGCATACAGGTTTTGTAGACAGAAGAAAATCAGAAAACGTAGTAGAAAAAAAAACAATCTTAAATAAAGAGAATAAGAAAGGTTGAACAATACTTAATGTGTATTTATTTGACTTAATGTGTATCTGAACAGGTATCTAACTTGTATTTTAACAACTTTGTTAAATCCACCTTTTATTTGATATGTATCTATACAGGGATTAAAATGTATTTATACACAAAAATAGGAACTCAGTTGTTCAACCTCAAGTTAAGTAGAGTATTTTTAAGCTACTTGATCTGTACTTAACTACTGCTTTTTCAATAGTTACACTTAAAGTAGTGTACTTAATGTATATTTGAACATCCCCTCTCCCTATTTGAATTAAAGTAGTACTTAAGTAGAGTATTTGATAAGTATTTGTTC